ATAATCTGTTAAATTATTCAGAGTGAAATGTCCCTAATAGCAGAGAGAACAGTTTGACCTGTTAGCCAGTAGATGGCTTTCTCAGATGTGCAAGCTGCAAATTGCATCATTATCTAAGGATTTAGGATTCATATGAGAAGTTGTTTGTGCTAAGCTTCACTGTAATGCCAAAAGTGTGTAGATGGCCCTGTTTGCATCAGCATGCACTGTTTGTCTGGGGCAGTTTAGGACCCTTGTTTCCAAATATAGAAACATCGGGTTATCTCTTGACCTCTGTTGCTTAGATTTTTTTGAATTCTTTCTTTAATCTATCTCTCTCAAGCCCCCAAACCATATGGAAGTGCAGCACTAAATCGTTGAAGATGCTGTTTTAAGACATTTTGATAGTTTCAGTAGAAATGATTACCTGAGTTATGTCTGGAAGAGTCTGATTGTGGTGCACAGAGCTAAACTGAACTTAAATAACCGCTGGTGCTTCCTTGAGTTGTTTTACTTTTCATATACTGTAGGTGTGTTATGGAGTAAATCTGTAGGCTCATGTGTATGAGAAAGGTATGATAAATATGTGAGGTCCCAGAAAGGTTTCACTTTTCTCATTGTATCTAAAATTTTTATGTTTCCTGGGGAAACTGCAGGGAGAACTGAACACATTGTGAAGATGTTTTCCTCCAGGCTGCCCTCGAGGTCTTACCTTTAACAGCATTTACTTGTTAATTAAACTGAATAGCAGATTAGAAAATTAAGAACCTGTTTGAGGGGAAATTAGTTTGTTTCATTAGCAGCTGTAGCCCCTTAAGAGCTAAATCCACACTCTCCTCCAAACACCCCAGTTATGGCCTGAAATGGTTACAGACTGTTTTCAGAGTTTAATCTCATGGCTTTGAGTCTGAATTAGTTTTTATTTTGGATTTTTAATTAAATGTACTATAGTGTGTGTACTATGAAAACATATTGCGGTTTTATTTTGTAACATCTGGTCATGGAAAGCACAAGAAGTGGCCTTCTGGGCTGGTGGTTGGTGAGTAGTTTTGAGATTAATGCTCACGGTTCATGACAAATAAATAAAATGTGAAAATCTGTTTGTTTTTCACAAATCTGTGGAAAAAGTCAGATCTGAGTCACTTGGAGTGACCAAATCAGATACAAGTCACTTCAGCATGTAATGTGAATGTAGCCACAGATTTTAGTATCTAAGCAAGCCAAAACATGCCTGTCACATCATTGGCACTGTGGAAATGAGAATAAAACATGGAGGGATCCTCTCTCACTGGCCATAAATAGAAGAGAAGCCTGGCAGTCTGCCTCAGTTCCTGTCCCTCTGATTGTTTGGGGCAGATTCTCTGATTTCTCAGCACTTCACTTCTGGGAGAATGGGATGACACAGAGAAACAGAGAACCCATGTAGTTTGTTTCCCAGAGAGGTCAGTCTCTAAAGGCGCTGTCACATATTTCCAACTTTGCCCTTAAAGGCAGAAAACGCTGGGCTCACACAAAAGCCTTTATCTGCTGTGCATCAGAAATGAGTGGACACTAACCAGAGGGACAGAATCAAATGCTGTTTGAGAGAGTGTGCAAGCAGGACACTGGAGTGAAATTTCGAGTCTTTGCCATTTATTGTTTATGTGTGTGTGTGCCTGATTTTACTCACATTGTGGGGACCAAAACCTGTTTACACACTGACATTGTGTGGATTCGACCTTCAGTGCATTTTTCAGACCAGATGTTGGTCCTGGGAATGTAAATCAATGAATTTCTGTGTGGTGATTCAGTTTAAGGTTAGGGTAAGTCTACAGGGAATTAATGTAAATCAATGTAAAGTCCCTGCGAGGAATGAAAACCTGTATGTGTCTCCCAGACATCAAGATTCCTGGAGCATGCTTACAATGCTCTGTATTCTTAAGGTTTAACACACTCTTTTAACATGAATGCTATTGTGATTTGTTCCACCTTTCAGAGATACGGTATCCTGACATTCTGAGATGTTTTTGGAATTTTCCTTTGGGAAAGAGAGTGCGTGTCCAATTTCTCAAGAGAACTGCACCACACAGATTATCAGCAGGTGAATTGGACCTTTCTGCAGACAGTGATGCAGAACAGTGAGGCAAACAACAAAATTACAGGCTTGCGTTGGATGCTGTCAGATGGATTCAGTTATTTCTGTGCAAAACAAACTTTGCTAAGCTATAACTGATCTGTCCAAATCCTCGTGTTTGAATAAACTTGCACTTGGTTTTACAGTGGCGCATTTTTTAGCTTCCATCCTGAGGAGTGTGAGACATGGTGTTATACCCCTGGTTTAGGGTTTTGTCCCTCAACAAGATTGTGTTGTATGTTTATCTGGCATCACAGCTATTGAAATGTAGCTGAGCTCTCCCTCCTGGGATTGCCACAGGATCTTATAGACTTCCTCATCATTTCATCTAGCTGTGGACCTTCTGGGCTCCAAGTGTGAAGTTCTTGGAGCTTCCTGAAATTGCCTTAGCAGAGGCAGGCTGCTGTTACTCACCGACTAACTGTCAGTCCCCAGAGTAAGCGGAAGCAAAACAGCTGTTATAGTTGTTTGTCACCACACTTCCTGGTGGCACAGCTGACTGAACTCATTTGAATATATCTGACCATATTACAATCACCTGTATTAGAAAACAAACTTTAAAAAAACTCCCTAAATTTACAATAATCTTATACAGTAACTGAAATTGATGGATTTTTTTTCCCCAGAGGAGGCAATTCATTTTATGAGAGAGCTTCATATCCACATTATGCTCTCCTTTCATAAGGACTGCCCAGGCTGACACCAACATGCCTCATTAGAGTTCATTGTTGATGTTGTTTTGCTTCTGTGGGAGGCTACAAAGATTGTAATGAGCTGTCCACATCTCACAGTCTCCAGCAGCTCTGGGCCACCTGTGTGTGGGAGTGCGCTAAAAAAAAAAAAAGATATATATGGATGTGAAAAGATGGGGAGATCCTGTACAAGCACAGATGTTGACAAATGTTCCAGAATAAAAGAAATCAATAACAGTGACAGACATTTTATAACAGTGTACAATAATCTGGAATCTCTTTATTCATCTGTAAACATACAGAGCATTATTAATCTCTAGTAAAGTAACTTTATTTATAGTATTACATAGTGACAAGCTGAGAAAACCAGCTGACAGTGTTGATACTGTGCTGTCTGTAGACCATAAATAACTTTTCAGAAGAAATGTAATATTAAATAATATTTACACAGATTTACAACGGCATACATGGACTTTCAATGCAAAGGAAGTAAAAATTATGTTACAGGTAAATATGCTGTACTCTGGTTTTATTTCTTAAATATTTCTGCTGTCTTTGTTTGTAGAAGTAGCAATAGAACATTTTTTGCAACCTTGATATTTTTATAATATTTGCAGTGATTATAAGTAAATATTTGTACAATTTTATATTTGTGCATTTTAATTTTCTGGCAGGTTTATACTCTATGATTAAATGACTTACTGCTGTTTGTACTGACAAAAGGATGGCAAGAACGTGGTGAAAAGTTCAAAAAGGAATGCACAGACATCAGAATTACACAGATTTCTTAGTATTCCCTGATTTTTCTCTCATCCACATTCTCCTTTCCTGACACATTCTCTGTGTTGTTGCATTGCTCAAGTTCACTGAAGGTGAGCTTCACCCACCTGCTTTGAATATTTGTGCTCGCCGTTGTATTTGATCAGGGATGTGAAAAGCTGGTTTTGACATTTCCTCACTTAAATATTCTCAGATGATGGGGCTATGAGATCAGTAATGGTGAAGGCTCACACAAGTACAACTGCTGTCAGCTCTGTTCTCTAAAATGTGACGAGGTCAGTCAGAGATGTCAGCAGCCCGGAGATGAATGTCACAATTGTTTGTAATTTGACAAAGCAGAAGCAATTAGTTTTTTTTACAAATTGTTCAACAAATGCAGCACTGTTTTATTCTGTCATATCTGTCTGATGCTTGTGGCTTTGACCAGGAGCTGTGGCGGTGTGGTTGTAACATGGTATGCTGACATATTGAGGGTAGTCAAAGTAACATTGCTTTTACAGAAAGCCACCCGCATGCGCCATCATGTAACACGATGTGTGACAGAATGTACTGAATGAAACCTGAAAGTCGAGCAGAGAGGATGCTGTGTCTGCTCACAGTTTGACAGCGTGTCATTTTCAGCAGCACTGTGCGCCATTATCCAACGCATCTGACCGTCCTTTAGGCAGAGAAATAGACTTTGTAAATGTAGAATGTGAAATTACAACCCAATCACCAAACCCTGTGGTAACATTATTTCTTCACTCCACAACCTTCCCTCCCTGCGCTGATTTGATGTACGCCGTTCTGTCTGCAGGGCTGCCGTGTGCTCGTAAACATGCTTTTTTTCACCGGGCCCCTGCAGTTCAAAACAGGGCTGGGAGGTGTGGCCGTTAAGCTGTCATCATTCTTGCTGAATGTCTGACCTTGGCTGTCATTGGTGTGAGTCACATTTTGCATCACTATCATTTAACTTGACTTCCTCATGGTGCTGAGTCTGTTAGTTAGTTAATTAGTTAGTTATTTGATAGAAAAAAGTTGACAGTGGCTTTTATAACTAACAAACGTTTTCATCTTTTTAAATATGATGATCTGTTTTAAATCAAAATGTAAATTAATATATTTGAGTTTGGGTATATTTAATTAACCTTAATTGGTCTCTGGGAAACTGTGATGGGCGCACAATTCTTTCCAGATTTGCTGATTAAATCCCACATTGAGTTTTCCCATTTCTTCCTTATGACAGTAGTCTTTATACTGGATGAAGGGAGTGTTTCACATCACACGAGTATGAACCAGAAAATCCCTTAGACAGGGAGGAAACAAACTTTAGAGCTCTTCGGCCGACATGGCAGTAGAGGAAAGCACAGACCGACTGTCATGGATGTGTTTGTGTGTTTTTATCTGGTTTTACTTTTCTCTCACCCAACTTTTTTTTTTTTTTGCCTCCTCTGCAGCGGTGCAGTCTCTCAACAACCTGAACGACCAGATCGCTCAGTTCATGGTGACCAGACCTTGTACCCTGGCTGACGAGGATGAGACCTTCATGCTGGGAGAGAGGGACACCTTGAGGAAGTCCATGACTCTGATGAGACACCTGCTCATGGAAGCTCAGGTCAGCCTTCGCCTTCTCAGCAGGGTCAAAAGTCATTTAGTAGATGCAATAATTTAATGTTCAACCCAACGGTAAGAAATTACTGTAATTGCAAGTTGGATAGAAACTAATTTCTGTTTGATAACAGGAAGTACAAGAAGACCTTTCCATAATTATCTCTATCTCAGACATACAGTGCAGGTTTAAAAATCACATGTTTTTATAAGGAGACTGAAGCAAACTCTCTCACACAGACAACCTACAAATGTTGGCTTTGGCAGGATTCTAGAAATACCTTAAGAATGTGGGTGAGAGTTGTCAAACAGCTGTCTGGGTTTAGAAGCAGTTGGTACGCACAAATTTCGGGGGCTGTCAGGAGAGATGGTGAATGAATATAATACATGAGAGGCACAAGCTGGGGCTACTTTCTCGGGACTGAACTGAAACACTATTTAGGCCATTACATTATGGAATAAGATTTACAAATATAATTAACAACCGAGTGGCTAAAACATGGAAAATGTGGAGGCTTAGGGACGGCTCAAGACCACGGTAATTTAAACCCTAGCTACCTACAGCTATGGATAAGTTCAACAGGAGCTTTTCATTATTGAAGCGTGTGTGAAACTATTCCCCTCACACTTTCATACCTGCAAGCATTTCTTTATGTTTTTTTTCTTTTTTATATTTTGTTTTAAACTTTAATGAAGTGAAGAAAAATCGAGATGCACTGACACGTCTCTTTCCCCCACTGTATGTCAGTATGATTTGCTGATGAGGGTTGAATCCAGAGGGTGTTCATCTCGCCCACAGCACAACCAGTCCAATACTGTGAAAACTCTGGCAAGTTCTGGGATTGTGAACAACTGATGGTTTAACCGGGCAGGATTTATTTCCTACTGTTGATCCCCAGAATCCATAGAGAGAAATGTTTGTTCCTATTAAATGACCTTTGACACATTTTCTATGCACTGTTTAAAAAAATGTCTTGAAGATTTATACAAACTTATCAAAACAATAAAATCACTGCTCTTCTGTACTTCAGATGAGATGATAATACATCCTTATAGCGATGCAACAATTGCTCTTTTCTTTATATTCCCTCTACATTTTGATGAATGTTAAGTGAATTTTGACACGCTGATGCATTCGGGTCATCCATTACCCCTCTCGCAGACATATGTGATGGATATGGAGTCCCCTGCCATTCTCCTGGAGACATTTTCTCCAACGCAGTGTCATTGATTAAAGAGAAGGTAATTCAGCAAAAGGCCATTGCTTTCACCTCAGCTCCGTTGTATGCAAGCTAGAGTGAAAGATTGTTAGCCTGCAGTCAGTTTTTTCTGTTACCCAGGAATATAGCATTGGGAGGTGATGGATGAGTGGGAACTTAGGCTGCAGATAGAGTGCAGATTATTTCCCTGAGAAGCTGTACTAGGGGGGGAAAAAGTTTTCTGGTAGTTCAATGTTTAAGTGAAGTGCTCAGACACTAGACAGCCTGACAGATTCCCCCTTCCTCTTGACCTTGTGTTGGTACACCCACAACCTTGACATTTTCTAGATTCTTTGTCAGATAACGGCCTCTGTCAGCTGAGAGCTTGTAGCTGTGGACTGTCAGAAGACAAAACAGATCATCAGGGGATACTGACATGTGACTGGCGATTCCTGTGCCACCACCAGTTCTAACAGAGAGTCTTTGTATCCGAACTGACAGCATGTCCCAAATAGTCCATAATAATTCTAAGCAGGTGTTTAGTGTATCATGTGCTCATACTGGAAAAGTGCCAAAATGAACTGAGCATAATAAATGTTTTTGTGTGTGCGTGTGTGTGTGTGCTGTCAAAGACACTATCATCCACAATACAGTGCACAAAAAAAATGGAGCCGTTAAAATGTGAATGTTGGTGTGACAGCTCCAGAAAAGCAACTACAATCAAGGCAGTGACATTCCAAAGCCACAGTTTGATTGACATTTGATGCTGCATGTGTTTTACAATGCCCTGTCACAGTATGATGATCTGTATGCTACATAGAATTTAGTATTTAGGACGTGGTGTGGTGGACTCTGTTAGGACTGAGCTTTAATTAACAGTAGAATATTAAGTTCTGCATTTCCAGACACAGTGAACCTGTATTTCTGTTGGTTAACTATACACATCTGCCCAGAGGTGAGTTCTGAACTGTGAGCTCTCTGGATTTAGAGGTGAACGGGAGGTGGGGCGAATATTTGTAGGACAGAAGTGAAATGTAGCTGAAGCTGAAACATTTGACTGTCATCTGCTTGGTCTTCTAAGATAAATCTATTGTAAAAGAGGTATAAAATATCAAACAAAGAAAACTGATCATTTTAATAGTTATGAATCAGGATGTCTTGTACTGCAGCTCCTCCTAAAAGGGGGGGAGAAAAAACAGCTTAGAAAAATAAATACACTACACCTGTTATTTTGAGATACATTTAAACAACCCTTTTTATCTTCTGGTTCTCAGTTTCAGGTTGTAGCTACAGGTTGACAACATTAATAAGGCTGCCATTAAAAAACGTTTCTGCTGACACTGTCTGACAGCATCAGTTGTTTCAGCAAATGCCTCAAAATAACAGGCATTTATAGTCGGTTGACAGATTTTTCAATCCCTCAAAAACACTTTGATGAATGATTGCCGTGTGTTACAGCGACGCTGTACCTCCAAGCATAAAGTTTGAGCTTTCAGACTCCGTGTCATCAGTCAGACACCAGAAGTAGAAAATAACTGTATTCAGATTATGCATCTGATGTTTTTGTTCTCTGAGTTTCAGAGGTCAAAGTAAAGCGTGATCCCATCATGGAGAGTAGTTTTCTCTCTGTCAGAAGGAACATAAAATTAGTCCAGCCCTCCTCCTTTTACCTACTGTTCTATTCTGACTGCTATTGTCTGTGCAGTTCAGGTGAGGCCATTTACCAAGAAGCTCTGATGTCCAGTATTCAGTGCTGCCGATTTTACTGCTGAACAATAGAACAGCAAATTCACCGAGGCTTCCTGTCAGTTACGAAACCTTGATGTTTTGCATTTTATTAACATCTTATGAAAACATTTTCTAAGAACAAATGGTTTCCTTTTTTCTGTGGAGTGAAAGCATCATCTGATAAATTCAGCATTAAAATTTCAAGTCCATGGTCAGTAAAAGGCAGAAAATTAATTTAGGGAAGATTTGAATAGTTTCTCTTTGAATGCTGTCCCAGAATTGATTGCCTCATTTGTCATTTGCACAGATGAATTATTTATGTCCCCAATGCTGTGCTGGGGGAACTAATCAAATGCATTTCAGTGGGTGGGGAAGCTGTGAATTGATGTAGCGGAACGTTGCACTGCGTTAGCTACTTTGGCCGAGGAGTCAGCAGGGCTTCAATAACGGTCTGATGACAGTGTGACAGAGGAGATGTTGTACAGACATAACTGTCTGTTTATTTAAAGTCCGAGTCCTTTACTCAAAGTGGTTCAGTTCAGAGCAAATACACGGCTGAGCAGATCAGTAAACACAGAGCAGCACCTCAGAAAGTCGATCTGTGTAAGTCTGAACAAACAGGAATTCTTCACCTGAGGCCCATCATACAGTGGCTTTCAACAGCCTTACTAGATAATAAGTGATTGGTCCACATTGTGTACAGGATGTTACATTACGTCAGATCAGGTAACTAGAAGCAAAGCAAGGGTCAGTGACAGTGCTGTGTCCATGCTAACATGCTAAGCTAAGATGGTGACAATGGTAAAAATGATACCTGCTAAGCATCAGCATTTTAACCCCATCATGGTGAGCATGTTAGTACTGTGACAGCAGCATTCAGTTCAAAACACCTGTGTGGAAGAAGTACTTAAGTAAGTCCCATAAGTAAAATTAACAATACAATAGCATAACAATAGTGTTACAAGTAAAAGTCCTGCACTCAAGATGTTACTTAAGTAGAAGTGCAGAAGTATTAGCATCAAAAAATACTTAAAGTACTAAAAGTGAAAGTAGTCGTTATGCAGAATGACACATTTAACATTAATGTAAATTGTGAATGAGAACAGTACATAAATCATGATTTGATTGTAATTACTGGTGCATTATTGTGTTCATTACATTTAATGTTGCAGCTGGTAAAGGGGGAGCTAGTTTTAACTAGCATAGCTCTGCCACCAGCGATCAGGAATGTCTTAAAATATCGTATTTTTTAAAATTAGTCTGGTTCTGAAAAGTAACTAGTAACTAAAGTTGGAAAATAATTGTAGTGGAGAAAAAGTACAATAGTTGCCTCTAGAATACAGTGAAGCTGATTTATGAAGTAGCACAAAATCAAAATACTCAAGTACAGATACCTCAAAATTGTACTTAAGTAATTGTAATTGAGTAAATGTACTTAAGTACTTTCCAGCACTGCCTGTGTAACAGTACAGCCTCAGAGGTGCTAGCATGACTGAAGACTCTTGGAAACTTCAGTTTTCTGGAAACATCCACTACTACAGCTTAAGTGAAGTGATAACCGACCTACCTACCTACCTTGTTTATTTATATTAACAATTATAATGCAAACGGCACACTTCGTACTCAGCTGTGCATTGTGCATTTCAACTGACAGTTTATTTTTTTGTTTTTCTTTGCAGCATCAACGCCCCAGATGGGGCACAACACAGTAGTCACTGAGCTCAAGAGAAAGCTTTGCTACGTATGAAGAGAAACCAAACAGAAAAGTTTATGAGCTAGAACCCACAGCTGAGTTGTGGCAGAGCAGGAAGCTGCCAGTTTAGTTATTTTAATTACAATGGCAGATCTGACTTAATTCAATATTGACAAGGGAAGACTTAAAGCAGCAATATGAGCCTGAAGTAAAATAGATGGAGAAACTAATGATCCATTGAGGTCTGATTTGTCTTGTAGCTGTTAGTGAGACAATGGATCCATTCTGATCTGGTAACTAAGAAACCATTTGACAGTGAGAGTCAGGAAAAAAGAGGACAGAAGTGGACCAGGGATTGCAGCAAAATTCCAGTGCCATCCTAAAACT